AACTCTTTCCCTTTCTTCTTCTAAGACGGGGAACATATTTTGAAGTTCCCGGCGTGTGGCTGGATCGATGAAGGAGGAGTCGGCACCACAACTCATGGGCGGGGCAGATGGCTTCACAGCAGGAGGAGCCATTAGTGAAATGGCTCCAGAGCCCTGAGGCCATGGGCCGAGCGTGGCCGGCGCAGTAGCACCGCCATTCTCTTTCTTCTCTTTTTCTGATCCTCCTCTGCTTCCTGCGGGTTGTTTGCGTCCTAAGCGCCTATCCCGCTTGTACCCTTCCTCCGCATCGGATGTCTCCAAACTTGATGAGGAAGATCCTGCTTTCAGTTTCACCTTTATTTTTTGCTTCAAACCGGTTCTCCTCTCCCGCTCTGTTTCTGAGAGACTATCCTGGGCAGACTGAAGGGCTTTGTCACTCTCTCTGACCGCTCCCTTACGGAGGGCATAAACCATCTGCAAAAATTTCACCAGAGAGACCTGTGCGCCCATGTCTATAACCAGAAGCAGTGGCTCATATACCTCCGATTTATGCTCCTAGTCACCCGAAAGTTCTCCCTCTCAGAGCTCCTTACCTGTTTTTTGGCCGCAGTTCTGACTTCCTCCCGTTCGAAATGGGAGGCCCCCTCCAGGTCCCGGGTTTCCGGCACCAGTTGTCGCGCCCACGTGTCTTACCGCCCAGCAATAAGACGCAGACGCGAGTGAAGTCTTCTGCGGTAAAATTTATTGCGAGCACCAAGATGAGGAAGAGAGAGAGGGGCGACCCCAGCAGGCTGTCTGCTCTTATGTGCTGACTGGCCCCGCCTCCGCCGATGATAGGTCGGCGTCATGATCACGCAGGGTCCTGGGCGACCGATTCGTCAGTCCCCAGTGTTCACGTGCCGGCCACGCCGCAGCTCACTGCGCATGCGCTAGGCACCTGCGCAGTACCGCGAAGGCTACGTGACTCTCCACCACGCACGAAGGTGTGGCTTCTTCGGCCGGCGCCATTTTAGGTACGGCATGTGGCCAGTGCATACAGATGCGGCTTGCAACAGGAAAACTCTCCCTGTCTCTGTCTCTGTTTCTCTCTCTCTCTGCCTTTCAAAAAAATTTAGATAGGGTCCCGTTTTTCAGAATCTGCTTTTTGCTTCCTGGCCTAATGCAAGCACATTGCTTAGGCTCTGCTGTTTGAAAAGCCACATAGTGTGATGATCAAAGAGGGTGGTTGGAGGTGGGAGCGTTGGGAGTCAGGAAGCTGGGGAGAAGGTGGCCTGAATTCCAGTTCTGTCACTGTATGAATCAACTGGGGTAAGCTGGCTTCACACCTGTAGAACACTGGTGACGGTAATGGTTCTCATTTCATGGAAGGGCCAAGAGAAGAGACAGTGTAGCACCATGGAAGGCACACTTAAAAGAGTGTGCTGTATCAATCAAGCACTCACAGTATTTCTAAATGTGTTGCAACAAATTGGAACCTTAGCATGCTGTACCTTTTCAGTCCTGAGTGTCCATTTAAAAAAAATTCAGGTTTTAAACAGCCCAGAAAAGGCCATGGAAAGCTACACACAGGCATACAATTGGCATGGGTCGGGGGAAGACCAGGCTGAATCTGTCCACGTCATCCATTGGCAAATCAGGCACCAGTGTGGGTCTACCCAGGTTCGGTCGCAACAAAGACTAGTGTACAATACAGAATGTCAGGGTGAGGTTGCCTGTACTGGAAGGGACCACAGTGCCCAACCAGCCTGAGAACAAGAAAGGAAGTGGGCAGAGCCGGCAAGGGGAATAAAGGAGGGTTCCTTTGCTGGACAGCTACTTCCGCAGGAGAGCATAGGCTGGGATGGGGGCAGACCAGACTAGGCAGAGCTACCACACCTGTGCGCCTCATGTGGACTAGATCAGGGAAAAGCCGGGCTGGGCTGATTATTCCTACTGGTGCAAACAAAATTAAAGTGGGCGAGGGTTGTTTGGGCTTAGCTGCAGCATCAGCTGGAATCTGGGAGTGGGAGAGGTCTGGGAGGGAAATAGTGGGCTCATCCCTCTTGGGTTACCACTTCCACGGGAGGACATAAAACTAAGATAGCGGCTGGGGTGGAATGGGGTGTGGGACAGACTGGATTACTGCTACACATACTGGCAAACCAGGGTAGGGGGCGGGCCTGGTGGGGGTTATTGTGGGTCGCTCCAACTAGGCTGCAGCTCCCACTGGTTTATGTGAGGGCCAAGTATGTGCTGGGCAGAACCAGGCTGGACTGCAACACCAATTGGTTCCAGTGGAAGTTGGGAGTGAAAACAGAACCAACCCAGCAATTGCAACCACCAGCTGATCTGGGCGATGGACTGTGCCAGGCCCTGTGCTTGCTAGCACATCCAAGAAGTTTCTTTGGAGATCTTCCTAATCTACATGCTGGACTCAGAACCCAAACGAAGAAAAGAGAAGACAGAACAGGTCAACCAACTATCTCAGCTAGGATGGACTATGTCAATCAGTGGATTTTTCAAAGACCTCATAGTGCTTGGAGTGGCAAGATTGACAGCGATTCATAACTGTTGCAATATCAAAACCACTTGAGCAAGAACCTCAGGGCATGCCCTACATCCGGGACCTGGGGAGGGTGGGAAATTTGGTGGGCCTTCTCCCTTAATATCCCCCTTTAAACATGAAGGTAACAATATGGAAAATATACTAGTATTATCCACTTTCCTGTAGCCCTTGAACCTTCTTACCCTAATTAACTATGTAAAGATTGTCAAAAAAAAAAATTCAGGTTTTTGTCTTTGATTTAAGTTTGGCTTAGCTACATTCCTTCTCTACTCAGGTTTTCAGAGTGTTTGTCATCAAGGATGCTGAACCTTACTATGAGCCTGTTGAGGTGATTTGTTTGTCCTTCCCTCTGTTAATGTGATGGGTCATATTTATAGATTTGTGTTGTTAAATCACACATACATTCCTGGAATAAAGACCACCTGATCCCAATAAATGACCCTGTTGGTGTGCTACTGTATTTGGTTTGCTAGTATTTTATTGGGGATTTTTGTAATCACGTTCTTAGGGAATTTGGCCCAGTAATTTCATTTTCTTAAATTGTTGTTTTCTGGAGTTGGTATCAGGGCAGTGCTGATTTGGAGGTGTTCTCATCAATTGTTTGGAACAGTTCGAGAAGGATTTGTATTATCCTCCTGATTGTTTTGTAGCATTCAGCCATGTTGCCATCTAGCCCTGCACTTCTAGTTGATAGTAGATTCTTTTTTGTTAGTAATTCAGTTTCCCTTACTCTCTTCAGATTTTCTGTTTCTTCTTGATTCAGTCTTGGTATGTTTCCAGGAATTTCTCTATTTCCTCTAGGTTACTAAATTTGTTGGTATGTAACTATTCATCATAGATTCTTAGGGTAATTTGTGTATCAGTGGTATCAATTGTGATGTTTTCTTTTCACTTTATTATTGGGTTGTCTGTCTCCTGATTAGTCCAACTAAAGGCTTGTCAGTTATGCTTCTATTTTCCAAGAATCAACTCTGACTTTCGTTGAGCTTTTTTCCTATCGTCTCATTTATTTTTCTGTCGTTTTATTCCCTTCCTCCTGCTGACTTCAGGGTTGGTTTTTCTTTTTCTGGTTCCTTGAGTTGTAAGTTGGATTGTTCACTGAGTTTCTCTCTTTTTGTTCAATCCCAGTGTCTATAGCTAAAATCTCTTCTCTTAGGATTGCTTTTTTTTTTTACCAAAGTTTTGGTATGTTATATTTCTATATCCATTGGTGTCAAAAATGTTAAAAGTCTTCCATTCTTGTTTTTTTCTTTCACTTGCTGTTTGTTCAGTAATATGTTAACTTTCATGTGTTTGTGAATTTTTTCAGTTTTCCTCTCATTACTGATTTCTAGTTCATATCATTATGGTTAGAAAAGATACTTGGTATAATTTCGGTCTTTCTATTTGTTGAGACTTGTTTTGTGGTCTTGGTGATCTATTTTCTTTCAACACACACGCCCAGGCTCTCTTTGGGAACCATTTACATAGACTGTGATTTTTCTTTCTTTCATTTTCAGTTGTGTGTCTGTGAAGTCAGCATGAGTGTCTTGTAGGGAGCAAGCAATTAGATCATGTTGGACTTACTATACTTTTTTCTGCCTTTTGATTGGAGAATTTGATCTATTTGCATTCAAAGTAATTATTGATAAGTAAAAATTTACTGTTGCCATTTTGTTAGTTACTTTCTGGCTCTTGCATAGTTTCTTTGTTTCTGTATTTTTTCTTGTTAAGTTCATTTATAATTTAATGTTTTTTGGTAAAGATAATACTTTTTTGCATTTTGTGCATATACTGATTTTTTTGTAGTTATCACAAGGCTTGAAAAATATCTAGAGTTGTATGTAATTGAAATTCAGTTATTATCAACTAAAATAGAAGAGCACCAATTTGTGTTAACACAAAACAAAACCAGTTGTCTCGGGTAATATGGTTGCCATTCTTGTTACACTCTCAGCTTACAATTGTTATTATTACACCATGTGATGTCACTCATAACTAAGTTTTTGAGGTAGAATGGCATTTCTCACTTAATTGTGTGGTTTGATGACTGTGATCAGAAATAGGGCGTTTTGCTTTTGTCTTTTTGTGATCTGTTTTCTCTTAATTGCTCATTAAGATAAATTTTCAAGGACAGATCCTGTTTTTCTTTCATTATTTTATACTCCTGTCTGAATGCCCTTCTTATTCCACCTTAATTTTATAGGAGTTAAGGTTTTTCAATTGAAATACATTCTACATAAGCTTAGGTGGGAAGTACCTATAATCGCTGTGATGCAGGATGGGCTGGGCAGTCCGCAGTTACTTCTTCTGTGACCTGTGCGCTTCCTCCCATTTCATCTCTATTGCTTTAGCTCCGTTCATTCTGGCATCTACCTAGGATGCTTGCTTTGAATGTGCTGGTGCGTGGTGGCCTTTCCTTCCCGAGTGTGACCTTAGGACCTCCCACGGCCCTGTAATCCTAATGACCATTTTCATGGGGTGTGCTTTCCCACAGAGATGTCCACAGAAGACGAAGAAGAAAAGCTCATCTATGAGGCAGTGTTAAATCATTTCAAGAGCTGCAGAGTGGAGATCTCACATGCAATAACGCACACATTTCCTTTCCTGCATGGCCTCCGTGACCGTGGACTCATCACGGATAGAATGTTTCAGGTAAGTGAAGTCCACTGTGTCACAACCTGGTGTACTAGCAGCCACTTAATTTATGCTCTGATATTCCAGATTCAATTTCAAGTTACAACCAGTGACAGACAGGTGTTTCTGTAAGTGCTTCTGTATCACTCATGCCCTGCTTCTCCCTGATGCGATGGTGTTATGTGACGCCCTCTGGAGGTGGGCGGATGCACTGGTGATAAGCCAGAGTTGACACAATTGCACTCTTAGATGGGTGCTGTCTTGTATATGTCATACCATGTAGTTCAAACAATCATTCATTGTAACATAAACTAAATGTTGTAAATAGTTTTAGTGAATTAATGGTTTTACTGGTTTACTGAAACAGTTACTGGCACAGCACTTTATTTCAATTAATGTTGATTCAAAATATCTAAGTCCAAAAGCCTTAAAACTCATTGGGATGAATTTAGAAGTAGAGGCTTGCTTGGTTTTTCTTTCATTTGTGTGTGTGTGTGTGTGTGTGTGTGTGTGTGTGGCACTTGTGTAGTCTTAAGAGTTTGAGTAGGGCCCAGCATGATAGTGCAGTGGCTAAATCCTCACCTTGCATGGGCCGGGATCCCATACTGGGCACCAGTTTGTGTCCTGGCTGCTCCACCTCCCATCCAGCTCCCTGCTTGTGGCCTGGGGAAGCAGTGGAGGACGGCCCAAAGCCTTGGAACCCGGTACACGTGTGGGAGACCTGGAAGAAGCTCCTGACTTTTGGATTTGGATTGGCTTAACTCTGGTCATGGTGGCCACTTGGGAAGTGAACCAGCAAGTGGAAGATCGTTCTCTCTCTGTGTGTCTCTATCTCTGCACCAAAAATTGCTTTAATAATAATAAGTAAATCTTAAAAAAAAAGAATGAAACTGACTTCTGGAGCTTGTTGTAGCTTAATATTCTGTGTTTTTCTATTTTATATTTTTTAAGGATGCAGAAAATTCTTGGAGAAACATGATGCGTGTTGAACATGTGGTGTATGATGTTCTTGAGAAACTGGAGAAGTTTGACGAGACTGTTTTCGAGGCAGTGTTCAGCGAGGTCAACCTGCAGGAATACCCCAAATTAGTTCCTGTTCGTAAAAGCTTTGAAATTGGTAATTATGTTAATTGTCTACCTTTAGGAGTTTAGGGTAAAATATTTTCAGCAAGCATGTACTGAGTTTCTAACACAAACCACAGACTGTGCTGGACAGTGGAGATAAAGTACTTGTCAAGACAGACGCGGCATGAACCTTCTTGGAGCTTCTGGCATGATAGCAGGGGTACAGCCGCCACTCAGAGATCTGCTGAGCCAGGCGTTTAGAATAACAAGATGACCAGCATGACACGGGCACCACGGTTACTTAGGAGGACACAGGACAAGTCACAGAAAATCCCAATGAGCAGAACCAGTGGCTTCTGTTCCACTGGAGCCCTTGTGCTGGTCTACACTGCAGCCCACCCCATTGACTGCAGCCTGATTTGAGCGATAGACAGTCTAACTAACTGTGGGTGCGGGACCCAGCTTGGCTTGGTACTCTGTGCTCATGGGGTCGGTCTCTTGTAAAAACCTCCCCAGCCAGTTTCAGGGACACCCAATGGGGGCAAGGCCAATTGTAAGAGTCACCACACTGAAGGGAGATCTCCTCACCCCTTACTCTGCTTTCTAAACAATAAAAGAATCTTTTTTAAAAAGAGGTACCAGAAAAAAAACCCCACATGATTCTCTTTTATTGAATATGTTGCTATCTGCTTTCTCTCTCTCAGCACTCTTTTTTTTTTATTGTTGTTTACATTGTATTATGTGATACAGTTTTATAGGCACTGGGGATTCCCCCCTCCCCTGCCAAACCCCTCCCCCCATGGTGGATTCCTCCACCTTGTTGCATAACCACAGTTCAAGGTCAGTTGAGATTCGTTCCTTGCAAACACATACCTAGTCTCTCAGCACTCTTTAGGTAACACAGCCCACAGTGCTTCCACTTCTGTTTTCTCCAGCCTTGCTTGTCTTTTTCTGTCTGGAAAACATAAAACCTCCCTTGCTGACATGCCATCTCCCATGGACTGATGGGGAACGTTCAGTTCTGTGGGATGCACTGATCCGGAAACTGGAGAATCCTAAGCAGGTGGTTTTGTGACTTCCATGGTTCCTGCGAAGATCTCTAACCGCCTTCTCATCTCTGTCTTCAGAAGTCAACCGCAAGCTTCAATTCCAGAACAATGTCAGAGGCCACATAGAGGAGAATTCCAGGATTCAGCTGCCACTGGAACAAGGTAACAAGCATTTCTCACTTGTAGAGGGAACGGAGCCAGCTGGGTTCTGGACAGAGAGGATAAGCCAGGGATGGAACGTGGGAGGACATGGAGAAGGTCAGGGACACAAGGGAGGACATTGAGAAGGCAGCCGAGGTCAAAGTGGAGGAAGCCAGACTTGCACAGCTGAAACACCTGGAAACAGTAGTGCTAGAGAACCTTCCAGACAGGAGAGCTAGGGGTGGAGCCCTGAAGGGCTCAGAAGCATGGCCCGTGGCCAGCGTTAAAGAGGAGCCCAGATGAAAAGTTTCCACTATCTGGTCTTTGTCCTCTAACACACAGCATCTGAATATGTTAAACTGGTAACACGTGTGATCCATATCCTTGATAACTATCTGTGTGTGCAGGTGCCAGGAACAGGGAGGGATGAATGGAGGAGGAGAAAGGGTTCAAGGCTGCAGGGTGTGGCAGGGCTCCCTGAGGGATCCCCAGGCACGTCGGGAGTGGAGAGCAAAGGGAGACAAGGAGAACCCTGCAGCTCACAGCCCACTGACACAGAATAAAACGGATGATTTGATGTACCGAGCATATATATCTCTTTTTGTGGTAAGAACACTTAAAATCCGTTTTCAGTAATTTTTAAGAAAACGAGATGCTGTTGTGAAGCACAGATGAGCTCTGTGATGGTCCTCTTGTACCTGGCTTGTTTCCCTCAGTGTTGTGTCCTCCGGGTCATGTGGGTTGATTCAGGTGATAGGAGCTTCTTCCTTTTGAGGCTGAGTCGTATTCCTTTGTGTAGATGTCATCTTTGCGCATTCCTCTGTCGCCGGGCACTTGGGCTGACTTCACGCCTCGACTTCTGTGTCTAATACTGCTCTGAACGGGGGAGTGCAGGCACCTCCGTGACATATTGACTGCATATACTTGGGATAAATATCCAGGAGTGTGACTGCTCTGTCTTACGTAGTTGATGTGTGATTTTCAAGGAATCTCCATTTTGTTTTCCATGATGGCTGTACTATTTATAACCCAGCCAGCAGTAGCACCGGGGTTCCCGTTTTTAGACATCACCACCGGCATCTGTCCTCTCATGTCTTTCTGCTAAACACCAATGCAGCCAGCGTGAAGTGACATCTTCTCATGATTTTACGTTATGTTTCCCGGGTGGTTAGTGGTGCTGTGCATTTCCCATTTACACGTTGGTCACTTGTATAGGTCCTTTTGTGCAGGACTTTTTTGATAATAAAATACCCATTATTAATTTATTATTGAGTTGCTTAAGTTAGTTCCATCATTTGGGTCTCAGTCATTTAGCAGATAGATTTGCACATGTCTTCTGCCATAGTGTAGGTTGTCTCTTACCTGTGGGTTATTTTCTTGACTCTACAGAGCTTTTGGCTTTAGATAATCTTTGTTGTTGATTTTTGCTTGTATTGATCATACTTTATGTGTCACATTGAAAATCATTGCCAAGACCCATGATATGTAGCTCTTCCCCATGTTTTCTTCTACAGTTTTAGGTCTTAGATTGAAGCCTTTAATTCATTCTTGATGGATTTTTTCAGGTGATTTTGATGAAGGTCTAATGTCACTCTCTGGTCTCGTGTTATCCAGTTGTCCCAGTACTGCTTATTGACAAATGGTCCTTTCCGCATTGTGTGTTCTTGGCACTTTTTCTGAATAACAGTTGACCATGCAAGAGTTTATTTCTAGACGCGCTGTTGTGCTTCATCTATTTAGGTGTCTGTGTTTATGACAGTAGCGTACTGTTTGGCTTACTGTAGTTTTATAGTGTACATGTGTATTTTAAAGATTTATTTATTGTTGATGAAAGAACTACAGAGAGCAGTAAAACACACACATTACACACACACACACACACACACACACACAGGTATCTTCCATCTTCTGGTTCATTCCCCTGATGGCCACCCTGACCATAGCTGGGCCTTCCAAAGCCAGGAGCTGGTAGCTTCTTTCAGGTCTCCATGTCAGTTCAGAGAGCCAAGATCTTGAACATCCATTGGTGCTTTCCCAGGCCATTAGCAGGAAGCTGGATAGAACTGGAGCAGCTGGGACACAAACTGGTGCCCATATAGGATGCAGGTTTCACAGGTGGAGGATTAATATATTACTCCACTGCACTGTCCCAGTATTTCTTTGCTGTCAGATACTGTGACGCCTTCAGCTTTGTTCTTTGTCATCAAGTTTGCCTCAGCTAGTCAGTCTGTTGTGTTTCATAAAAATTGTAGACTTAGTTTTGTTTTGCTATATCTGTAAAAAAAAGTCATTGGAATTGTGAAAAAAAATTATATTAACTCTATAGAGAACTTCAGTACTACACACAGTCCACAATATAAATTTTTTGAATTCATGAACATGAAAAATCTTTCCATTTATGTTGTCATCTTTTTTTTCGAGATGTATTTATTTTTATCGGAACTGCAGATATACAGTGAGGAGGAGATATAAAGAGGAAGATCTTTATCTGCTGGTTCACTCCCCAAGTGGCTGCAATGGCCATAGTGGAGCTGACCTGAAGCCAGGAGCCAGGAACTTCCTCTGGGTCTCCCATGTGGAAGCAGAATGCCAAAGCTCTGGGCCATCCTTGACTGCTTTCCCAAGCCACAAGCAGGGAGCTGGATGGGAAGTAGGGCTGCTGGGATACACACTGGTGCCAATATTGGATCCCAGCAGGCGTAAGTCAAGGACTTCATCCACTAGGCCATCAAGAGCGGGACTATCTTGTCATCTTTAATTTTTTTTAATCAAAGTTTTAGGATTTTTAGTGTACACATGTTTTACTCTAAATTTATTTCTCTGTATTTTGTTCTTTATCAGTTCCAATGTAAATGGGATTTTTTTCCAGAGTGGCCATGGTTACAAATGGAAAAGCAACATTTATAGAAACACCGCTGACTTTTTTTTCCTTCTTTTAAAATTACTGTTATCGTGCCCGGTGTAGTGGTGCAGTGGTCAAGGTCCTCGCCTTGCAAGCCCAGGATCCCATATATGCGCTGGTTCTATCCCGGGAGCTCCGCTTCCCTTCCAGCTCCCTGCCTGTGGCCCGGGAAAGCAGTCGAGGATGGCCCAAACTTTGGGACTCTGAGGCCCAGAGGAGGCTCCTGGCTTCGGATTGGCATGGCATCGACCGTTGCGCTCACTTGGGGAGTGAATCATCGGACGGAAGATCTTCCTCTTTGTCTCTCCTCTCTGTATATCCGCCTTTCCAACAAAAAAATGATAAAAGTAAATCTTTAAAAAAAATAATAAAATAAAATTACTGTTATCATTTTATGATACAGTTCCATAGGCTCTGGGATTTCCCTCCTACCCTTGTCAAGTCCCCTCCTCCTCTCCCAAGTTTACCTATATCATTACTATAAGTTCTTCATAAGGAGTCATATGTCCATCATTGTGGGCATGGTAATGGCAGAGGGGCTAGCATTGTATTGTCAAGATGTAATTAACAGTTTCATTGGGAGTTCATCTTTGGTCTGGAAGTAGAGATACATACTGCATTGTATCCTCACATCTGGATATGACAGACTCCATTTCACAGTTACTGTACATCTCCTTAAGTGAAAAGCCACAATACAAAATCAACAGCAAAAAAAAGAAAAATAGAGATTTACAATGCCATGAAGTTCAATAACATGATACCAGATATGAATATGAAAGTCTCCATTACAAAGTTACTGTACATTCCCTTAATTGAAAAGCCATAAAACAAAATGAACAACAGGAAACAAAGAAATTTAAAATGCCATGAAATTAAATAACATGTAAAATAAAATCAAGAACCTTCTTGAAGAAAATGATGCTCCTGTATGATCTACGAGTCAGTTAAGAATTTAATGGGAAGAAGGTGGTTTGAATGGATAAATTAAAGATATATATATAAAATCCATGAGATATGGTTTCTGCTGATCTTTGTTGGTGAGATATTTCTCCTGTAGGCAACAAATAGATGGGTTTTGCATTTTTAATGCATTTTGGGTAAGTATGACATTTGACTGAAGAGTTAATCCATTAACATTCAGGATTAATATATACGGGTGGTAATTTGATCCTGTCATTTTAGCAATGGGTTGTTCGTTGATTTAGTCTTGTGTTGTTATTTCACTGGGATGTTCTTCACATTTGCCTTTGGTTTTGGTAGGCGCTATTCCTCTTCTCTGTCAAGAGAACATCTTGAAGTATCATGTGTTGGTCGGGTCTGAAAGAGGCATATTCTATAAATTTTTTTTTGCTTTACTGTGGAAGAATTTTATTTTATTTTCAAAGACAAAGGAAAGCTTTACTGGGTATGTAATCCTGGGCCGACAGTGTTTTGCTTTGAGATTCTGGAATATGTTGTCCCGTTTTCTTCTGGCCTATGGAGTTTTTGTGAGAGATTTCCTGTGAATTTAACTGGCATTCCTTCATATGTCAGTTGATTTTTGTTTCACATGCACATTTCAGGATCTTTTTCTTATGTTTGACTGGAGAGAGCTTGATTATCATGTGTCGTGGTGGAGATACTTTTGGTCAATCCTGTTGGGTTTCTGGATGTTGTTTGCCAATTCTTTCTCTAGATTAGGGAAATTTTCCCTTATTATTTCATTAAATACATTTTTGAACCCAGCTTCTCTTTCTGCACCTTCTAGCACTCCCATAACTCTTACATTTGGCCTTTTAATAGTTTCTCTTAATTCTTAAATACTTTTTTGAGCTTGACCCAGCTCTGCTTCCAGCTTTTTGTCTGTTTTCCGCTGGTGAAAGGAAATATCTTCCAATACTGAGATTCTTTCTTCTGCCTCCTTCATTCTACTTTGGAGACTCTCCATTATACTTTAATTTTTGCTTGACTGTATTATTAATTTCTGATATATCAACTTCCATTTGATTCATTTTCTGTGTGACATAGTCCTTAAATTCCTTGAATGCCTGCTTCATATGCTTCTTGTTGATAAGAAGCTTTAAAACAAGTGTTTTGAATCTGTATCCTCCACTTTCTCGATGTTCCTCAGTTAACTCTGAGGCTTTGATTCTTTGTAGGGAAACTTCAGTAATATTCATTGTGCCTTTGTTTCTTCTTTTGCTCTTGGTCATTGTGCTTCTGATGATCAGACTCTTCTCCTTGGGCCAGGTTTCTAAGCTG